ACTAGCATTGGTACCTTTTTATCACTGGTCAAATTTGACAATTGACATTTGAAATATGTACTGGTAAAGCGGACGCCCAGAATTTTGTTTTGATTAAATGCCCGGAACAAATTATCAGACTCTACCGTTGAACTGACCATTCCTTTGTCCATTGTACAGAATATGAAGGTGAACTAACCGTGCGGTTGTCCATTGTCATAGACCAATTGCAACGAAGTTTCCCAACATATATTTAAAAAAGACACGCCAATAATCTTAGCTTGCTTTTTAACTATGGATTATATAACAAACTACTGTTCACGTACAATTTTAGCGTTAATCCAATTTTAGCGGTAAACGTACAATTTTAGCGATAAACGTACAATTATATCAGTTAACGTACAATGCTAGTGGTAAACGTACAATTTCAGTGCTTTTTGCGTTTTAAACATTGAGCTTATTTTGTTATGCTACTTGAAGTTTTCGTATATAGTTTTCCATTGTAAATATTGTAAGCGCTTCAATTCATCAATGTACTTATCCTTTAAAATTCAATAATAAGCTAAATTTTGTGTTCGCGAACGTAGGTACTCTTACAGGATCTCAGAAAAAAACGTATTTGTCATTGCTTATAAAACCGCTCTGATATAAGTAAAGGCATGAAATAAACTTTGTTTTCCCCTTTTCTTTGCAGCAATGGAAACCATGCTATCTCCTACAACATCTGATCAGCTATCAACCACTACTACCAAGCCTGCTAAATATCAACGTATGACCTTTCCTTATATGTATTGAAATTATTTACCAACATCTGAAGGCTTAATCAAATGCAAGTTTCAAAAGAAACAGGACTGTTTATTAGATTAAGTTATATGTAGACAATATTTGATACTAGGTACATGTTAAAAATATACAGATGAATGTAACACCCACACAAACACATGTGATTACAAATTTAAAATTTGATAATACAGTATGGCAAACATGATATATGTGTTTATAATGACGAGAGTTCTGCAGCACTTGTTTTGTGTTAGATTGTTATCAATCTAGGCTGATGGAAAGTGTTACTGTCTTCATCAAGTACTGTTTACCAAATATGGAAATCGTTTATCTATATCTTTAAACATAATGTCCATTTGGATTGATTACACAAACACGTCTCGGAACTCTAATTAGAATCACATTTATTGTTAATCTTCGTTTTTCTGCACTCAGTAAAATAATGTTACAAAGTGCAGAAAAACAGAGATCAATACAAATGATCTTAGTTCGACTCTTACAACGTATATGTATTAAGCTCAATTTATTACTAATGTTACAATCCTCGGCACCTTCATATCCTAGCAGATATCATGTTTACAAAGCGAACATCCAGTAGTAATTAATGTGATATAGAATATCAAATCAATTAGCGGCGTTTCCCACTCAGACTCTCAGGGTGGTGGTGCTTTTCAGTGATATGGTTTATTTAACTCCAATCATCTGTGGTTAACGTCATCCTAAATTTTGCAAAATCAGTATCATTAAAATATATTACATGCTACTTATATTTATTTTGAACAAAGAATTAAAACAATGAGCTGGTAGGGAATTAGAGATAAACAATAGTGAGGGTAAAACATGTACATAAAATGTTTTTGTTTATGACTTCGGTTTGTTTTCAGTACTCAAAGCCACAACTGAGTCATGGATAACTTCTGAGCCTGACATTCCTGCGACAACTACACATGCTCAATCTGACTCTCCGTGCCCTTCGAGTATGTATGAATTTATACGAAGCGATCATATGAATGTTTATTAGAAGATAGAATTGGTACATATTAATTTATTTGAATTCAATGTACATATCAATTTAGGACCGGAACAAATAACCAATTAAAAGACAACCGCAATAAGAGTACTGTGCATACGTGAGTTTGATGCTAAAGTCTTTCAAAATCTGAGCCAACCAAACAAAATCAGATGACATAACCTTCTGTTTTGTTCCTTTTCGATGCTATGCGTGTAAAATGGCAACTTATTTCTGTGAAGGACAAAGAGAAGTCCATTTATCAGTAATGTGAAAATGGCGTCAAGTTGGATATTGACCTTAACTTGTTATCCTTGATGTCAGTCAGCTTTTACTTCTGTATTACATCTTAACGTGAGCCGTCTTGGTTTTTCTCCTAAATAAGATACAAAAATACTCCGGGTATTGTTCATCTATCCATTTTCCTTTACGCTTGCACAAATAAATCTTGGGGTTATAACCACAATAAATAATTATAAATTGGAAGCTTACCTTTATACTTATCATGTGATAGAATGTTTAAAGAGATGAACAACAGCTACGTACAATGTACAAGTATGCCTTATAAAATGTCAGCAAGTTCGATAAGGCAGGTATTTGCATTAATCCTTGCAATTGCTGGCTCTAATTTTGAGGGCGTGATATCACAAGAATTTGGACTTAACTCTTCACCCCTGAACTTTCATAACGAATATGTTTGCGTTAGATTACGTTTTTGTTGACACTTTGGGTAAAAAATCTTGCATATTTTTTATTAAATGAACGTCTCAATTGTGATCATTCGGCAGATAAACAAGAGATATGCTTCTGTGTGAAGAAAGAATACAACATGGAATACCTCAACGGTAGTAATGCACTGACCAAGCAACTAGAGAAACTGAAAAGTGAAAACCATATTGATTTCAAAAACACTTCAGGTAATAGAGTTCATTTAGTTAAGTCTCACTAGAATGATTTGCCCTCATTGTTATTAGGTTTATTCACTTCCACTCCTATCAAAGTAGTCGCTTCCCTCTGGTCCGTCCAGACTAACGGTACCTCTAGTTGAGTATCCCACCACACAAGAAATACCGCAATTTTGTCGTGAACTTTACCAACTAAAAACAGCTTCACATACACCAGACAGTGTTGACGGGAGGTCAGAGTATGAAATCATGTATGCTGTCAAAGGCAGTTGCAGCATTTAGGGCAGGAGGAAAGTTTGGTTTTTAAGGGGCGGTTGGAACTTGTTTCACCCTGGGGCGGGAGCAACTTGGGACGGACCTCTTAGCAAGGTCTTTAAGAAGGCTTGTGCTAAAACGAATCAGTTATGCGTGAGAAACTGAATTTGTAATATTTGCTTGTGAAACAAAATCTCGGAGATACATCACTTTTATACAATATCCTTGTTGACATCATTTTGGAAAATAGGGGTTATTTCGAGTTTCTAAACTTCACCAATTCAATATTAATGTATCAAGTCATTATTTCCTATATCTAGGTTAATGAGTACGTCTTTTGTTAATCTGCAGCATCCCTGCGTTCTCGTGTCTGCGCAACGGATGACAGACCGTCATCACAGGGCGTAGGGATAGCGGCAGCTGTCATCATAATAACCATGGTGTCGTTGATTGTCCTCCCAGATACCGTAATGCTGCTGCGAGTGTTGGCTAGTAGTCACAAGTGATTGTCCCTGAACATCTCACTGGTCTTTAACGCTTTACACTCTTTACGCAAATATGCTTTGCACGATTTTTTTCCTAAAAATCTGCATTCGGAAAACCTGATATGAAATATATTCTTTGTAAAAAAAAAGTCCGAGTACAATAAGGTTTGTTTCATTCCGGAATATTATACAATAACGATCTCAAATACATATGACATTTAACGTGATTTAAATATGCAATGTATTCTCCTTGAAAATAACGACAATATACATGTATATGACTTAGACTACCTCATATGCAAAAATGATAAATTTATAATAGGCAAATGAAGAGAAGAAAAAATAATCTGTAAGTTTTTCCTTGAAAAGCAGTTTCAACAAACAATTTATAATTACCTGGACAATGGTGTTTCACATATATATTGAACACCGTCGTTTCCCGTAGATATTGAATATTATAGTTTGAAGAATGTTTGTATGTTATTTTACCAAAAACTCCGAAAATAGCGTAATTGGTACAAACAACTAATATACAAATTTAAATTGTAAAGTCAAAGGAAATATATACAAGTTAGGACAATGTGTAATAAATGGTATGGCCTTGTCACGGGTGACATTTCCCAATAAGTAATGTAACTGGAGATAATGAAAATAACGTTAGCAAGATATGAATATTTATATCTTACTCGGCATGCGCTAAATGTGCGCAATAACATATAATGTAAACAAACCATAGATGTATTGGGTTTCGTGGACATCCTTACTTTTGTTTGGTCTATCCCCAGTTCCGGAGTTATTTGAGTAACTACTGTTAGTCTGGTTCCTGTCCTTGTGTATTGACGATGTATCATATTTTGCTATCCACTTCAATACTAAACTTTTCTACAGAATAAGTTGTGGTTAATATCACTAAGGTCAATTGATGTTTACATGACGCAAGGATAATTTAAAAGTTCCGTTACATAGAAATATAAGCTAAGTCATAAAAACAATTAATGATCAACCTTGCCAAAACATCCGTTCCATATCAAAATGCTTTTTCATTAATTATAAGTAAACAATAAAACAATTATATACAATTTTGTGGGGGACATTACCTTCAATTTAAATTCTCCTGTAAATCTAGTGATGGTTGTCTTTAAATGTTTATTTTTTTCGAATTGAAATTGTGGTGATTTTACCTTGGCTTGCTTGTACTCCTAATTGTTTGAATAACTTCAAAGTTAAAACTTACCTCTAAAGTTAAGCGAATAGAAATGCCCAATTACCAATCTTATATACAAAGATATTGAACATTTGCTCAGAAATTATTTTCTTTTCTGACAAACATTTGGTAATAAATTACATGTAGCATTAAGATGATAATTAGTGTTATCAGATGACTGGCTACACATATACTGTGTTGTATATTTCATTCGTCGGTACCATGTTAAACGTTTTGTGTGTTAAAAATTCCATTGCTATCACGTCAGCTAAAAAACACAGCGAATGTTAAATCTTTAAAAAGGACCTAAACATAATCTGCAGGAAAATTCATTTTCCGGATTTAGTTGTCTGTGTCCGGGATACGAAGCTCCACAGTATTTGATGATAGATAGCAGCCATTACCAGCAACGAATGTCTATATTCGCCTGACCAGTCTGTTCAGTGGTGGTCGTTGCTTTGCTCTACAGCTCTTAAGGTCCAGAATGACTAGACAAAGGACCACAGCTACGAGGACAGCGCCAGCGGTCACCCCCATACACTTAGCCATGATTCTCGGCTCGTACACACTCACGTGTCGTCGACGATATGCTGGTGAAAGAAATCATTAAAAATACAAATTAGTAGTAATTCATATTTCAATTTAATAATCAGTCGCATCGCACAGCTTATATATTCTACGCTGTATAGATAAACACATGAGAGATAAAGACAACTTTATCAGTAGCAATTAAGTGACTTGTAATGACATAGGAAATGTTATGTTAGGATAGTTACACCGAAGTGATTTCCTCAGAAATGAAATACATTTCGGACCAATCCACACAGCTCGAAGCAAAGCCGGTTTTTGTCCGGTTCAACAATGTAAAAATCACGCCGGAAATTACACACTATTTTGCAATGAACAGTCACAATCAATTATGAAGGACTCCCATATTGTACTACTATTTACTATGTTAAAAACGTTATAATATGGCCATTTCAATATCTCGCTCCATATCGACTCGGTAACCTCGTATCAGCCTTGTAATGATGGTGATATACGGTTATATCAAGTACAGCGATATTATTATAATTGTGAAACATTTTATACAAATAACACCATTAAGACAAAAAGAATATCTCGGTCAAATAACTAATAATAGTACTTATATTCTGCCTGCTAGCTATATACTGTATACTAAAGCGTGAAGTCGCGTTAAGCATCAATCATGAATTATAAACTATAGATATATTTATATATTGTGAGACTTACACACCGGGTAAAAAGCAAATTAATGCCCTTATAATAGATACGGAAGTATTAATTTGCGAAACTAAGTTCACGCATACTAACAAGTCATCAGCAGTAATAAAATCACATCATCTTTCTCAGATAAGACAAAAAATCCTTCTGAACAATTTTACATTTGTTAAAATTATAATATTTATAGTGTTTGTCCTAAATAAGTATTACCTGAAGTATTTTTATAATAAATACAGGTGTCCAGTCGAAGTCTTGCCAGGTATTCCAGTAATTCTTTGGGTGTTAACAAGTTTGGGGCGTGTTCAAATTTACAAACCGGGCACTTGCTATCTGCATTGGGGATAAAAGTATTTTATTGAATTAGCAGTTTTCACTGATTCACAAATTAACATATAAACCGAAAAGAAATATATTTAGAGCAGTTTCTTTATCAAAACATTACTTGGGAACATGAAGGAAATCGGATCGTTTTCATGTGTCGGTATATTCGGTTCTACTTTGAAAAAAACGGAAATAAGAATCATGTCGTGTGGATAATGCTTCAATAAGGTTTACTAAAGACAGGAAAAAGAGGAAGGTACGGCACTGATACCAATGCCAAGGTTGAACAACGGTAGATAAAAAGATACTATACTAAATTCACAGTAAATTGGTTATTAATAGCATTTTCTCTAAAAATTCAAATTGCTGTTTTTACCATTCATCGAGTACAGTGTATTTCGCTTTGCAGCTCACCGGATGAGTGTATAGCACACTTTAACATACTTAAAAGTCAGAGTTTTCTTCTCGTAATACAGTGAAAAGCATACAACGAACAGAAAGTAATTTATGTATATAAACTTAATCTATATCATTCTAGTAAAGGAGTGAAATGGTTCACATTAGCTCGAAGCTTGTTACCAAATCAGTTTGCACAACTTTTGAATTATATATCAAATAACTTATATATCAATAAAAACTGTGTGAATGAAAGTAGTTATTGAAAATGAAGATGACACCGACAAACATTTGATAATAATTCCAAATAAATGTGACACGACGTTCAGATTTAAGATAGTAATGGAGATAAACTTATTTAGTATAACAAAACAAAAACATTTTACAACCAGAATGGACATCACTTATAGTTATCATCCATATACTATTAAATAAACGTGTTACGACGTTCAGATTTAAGATAGTAATGGAGATAAACGTATTTAGTATAACAAAACAAAAACATTTTACAACCAGAATGGACATCACTTTCAGTTATCATCCATATACTACTTTATACCACCTACCATACTACTTTATATCACCTGCCATACTACTTTATACCACCTACCATACTACTTTATACCACCTACCTTACTACTGTATACCACCTATCATACTACCTTATACCACCCTCCATACTACTTTCTACCTCCTACCATACTACATTATTCCACCTTCCATATTACTTTATACCACCTCCCATATTACTTTATACCCCCTACTATACTCCTTTATACCACCTACCATACTCCATTATACCACCTACCATACTACTGTATACCACCTATAATACTACTTTATACCACCCTCCATACTACTTCATACCGCCTACCATACTACTTTATCCCTCCTACCATACTACATTATACCTCCTACCATACTTCTTTATACCCCCTGCCATACTACTTTATACCTCCTACCATACTACTGTATACCACCTATAATACTACTTTATACCACCCTCCATACTACTTTCTACCTCCTACCATACTACATTATACCTCCTACCATACTTCTTTATACCCCCTACCATACTACTTTATCCCACCTGCCATACTACTTTATACGACCTACCATACTACTTTATACCACCACCAATACTACTTTATACCACCTACAATACTACTTTATACCACCTACTATACTACGTTATACCACCTACCATATTACTATATACCACCTACCATACTACATTATACCTCCTACCATACCACTTTATACCACACACTATACTACTGTATACCACCTACCTCACCACTTTATACCACCTACCATACCACTTTATACTACATACCATACTACTGTATACCCCCTATCATACTACTTTATACCCCCCTCCATACTACTTCATACCGCCTACCATACTACTTTATACCCCCTCCCATACTACTTTATCCCCCCTACCATATTCCTTTATACCACCTACCATATTACTATATACCACCTACCATACTACATTATACAACCTACCATACTACTGTATACCACCTACTATACTACTTTATACAACCTACCATATTACTTTATACCCCCTACCATACTACTTTATCCCACCTGCCATACTACTTTATACCACCTACCATATTACTTTATACCACCTACCATACTACATTATACCACCTACCATACCACTTTATACCACATACCATACTACTGTATACCACCTACCATACTACTTTATACCACCTACCATACTACTGTATACCACCTATCATACTACTTTATACCACCCTCCATACTACTTTATACCACCTACCGATAGCATGATAAATTCATCATCATGTGTTGTCAGTATGAGATACACAATAAGTTGAGAATGACTTGAGAAGAACTTGAGAAGATCTTGAAAACGGATTCCCCAGCATTTGGGAGCGTTTAAAAAAAAGAACGTCCTTTCGTGCCATGTGACTTCCTTAAACCGAAAGTAATATCCACACAAAAGTCATCCGCGTAAGAGAATAGTCCGTCGAAAATAAATCAATAAACGAATTTTGTTTGTGAAGATAACAACACCATTTCAAAGGTAAATGTGCATATGGAAAAGCCAATGACGATAGTATTGCTTTAAAAATATTTTTCAACTTAGTTTTGATGTTCACTGTTTTTACTCCGCGTTTGTCACAGACCGAGGATTTGCGATCGTTGACCATTGAGCTTAGAAATCATTTGGAAAACATGGTGTTTCGTTGACTTTTTTTAAATGGGGAAATGCATAAAGTAGTAGTATAAAGATGATACACAGTTAATCACACAATATTTTCAGTGTTTGTCGTTCGAACAATTTCTCGTCAATCGCACGTGAATAAAATCGAGAGGCCGCCGCAAAATTTGTTCTCACGACAAACCCTGAACATACAGTGTGATATTCTATAGGATCAAAATCGACAGTTTACCTGAGGTGTTTCCTGTCAATGTTGTTACCGTTGGCGTCTTCTTAGAAGTTGTTTCCGTTTCAATCGGTATTGTCACTGGAATTTCTAATGCATTAAACTATCAAAGATTTATCATACCGACAGAAAATCAACATCACACTATCCGTGACACGTGTAACAATATAAGTTGATCAAATATAGACATTCAGAATGTGTGGTCCAATTAAGTATTTCAATAATATTACGTTGTGGGTACGAAAAGTACGTCAAGACACAGTCATGAAAACCTCTATATACGAAGTTAGGTCAAGGTTACGAGGTGTTCGGAAATTATGGCCAAACCAAAAACATTGACTGACTGTCTGGCGGACAAAGTGAGTAATACATATCGTCGTTACATGACTAATCATTTCTATATACGAGGATACAGTAATCAGTAACTATTGTTTTCATAACAATTATTTCCAATTAAAGTAGTGATTTTTCTGTCTGTTTAAGGTCTCATTAAAAAAAGAAACGTTCATAATAATTTGTACTTCTCGCACACAATGTTCCGGAATTCACACGGATGTCCCACATATTATATGGTTTACGTTATATGTAACTAATCATTCGCGTGTCTCACAAATTCTGAGTCTAACATATAAGTTACCATAAACGTTTCCTACAAAAATTTTTAAGTTATATAAAATAATCATTCGCGTGTACCACACATTTTCTGTCTTACGCTATTTAAAATAATCATTCGCGCATCCAACAAAATTTATGTTTAAGGAAAAAAGGAAGACAAAAACAACTAATTATAATAACTCTTTATATTTGGATGGGGAATATTTTGTTCAATACAACACGTTTGCTTATTGTTAACATTTTTTTTTTCTACATAGAAATACATTTATACCTGTAGAAATGGCAGTAGAACAGGTATCTTCTCCTGTGGTGGTCGTGCCATTCTCTGTCCGGTATATAATGAAAAATAAGAGTGTATATTTGCCTATTAACTAATAATTTCCTTAGTGGATTTTTTTATGTTTACTGTATGAGTTCCATGTTCCGTAATATTGTTCCTGAAATTCATGAAAAAGTTTGAACGATAGTTTAATAGCAGTTCAAACCAAATAACCTTAACCTATTGCTTATGACGCATTGACTTTATGCAGTACGTTGATGGACACATTGTTATAGTGATACCTTACTGCAACATTACTGAGAATAATATCAAGATTTTCTCTCTCCCTAACCCTTTTATCATTATAGAAGAAATAATACAATAAAACATGTCAAGACCTGTCTTCAGGTGTTACAACACTCTACTTTACCAGTACTCGAAACAATGTTGTTTTTCTATCTTGGAGAATAATAAGAAAACAGATTATTTTTCATTGCCACTATGAAATGACTTACCGTTGGTAAACGTTCGATAGCAGAGAGCTATTCTAGGTTCTTCACAAGCTTTGTCTTCCCACCCTTCAAATTTTTTAGCGCTCAAAACAACACAGTCCTGATCGTTCAACTGTACAGCGTCATTAGGCTGTTTATCAAGCCATGTAAACCACGTGGCTAACTGTCCGTCAAACGTCCTAAATACACCCTCCTCTGCGCAGTCGTTGTAACCTATCCATAACCCGTCACTCGTTGAAGTGGCCAGAGCATCGCTAGGACAAAATAATGTACTTATAATTTATTTTTTATTTTTGTATGATTTAATTTTGCTATCCCCCAAATGGTAGTCTTTTTCATGTTATATTGTTTAATATAAAGAACAGACAACACAAAAAGTGATACTATAATGTTCGGCGCAGTATTTCTTGTTGAAATTGCGTGGCGATGAAATTAATGCGCAGTTTTGTGTTTTATGCAAAATATTTTGTTTTTATCAGAAAAGAATAAATATTCACTGAATATGAATTAAGAAATAATGTCTGACTTAAATGATAACGGATAAGAAGATTATTTTGAGGGTTTCACGGTGTACACCAATAAAAAAACGCCTCTCAGATTTATGCAAAGCCTCAAGAGGTGGCATCTTCCGGTATCACAGTCCTTATCACAGTCCTGATACTTTCTAAATTTTCGAGGATAACGAGCTCATTGTCAAATTTCATGTTTAGCCATTGGTTTAGTATCATAACATGCTAATTAGATAATTGCATATATTTCGATTTTTTACTGTACTTTCTTAGTTCTGTAAACCCTTGAAGTACATTTAGCTTCCGCCATTATAGTCACGTGACCCATTGTTTACATCCGGTAAGTGTGTCGGTTTGTATCATAGATAGGCATCTATCTTTGACCTATTCCTATTCTATTCATCACTAACAACAGGTCTCATTTGTTTGTGTTTCATCTGTGCCTGGGAATTGACCCTCAGGACGAAGACGTAATCATTCATCGTCATATCTAACTTAATTAAGATTATTTAAGCAATGTTTGCACCAATATCCTACTCGAGCACGATACTACCGACTCACCATCACGCCGGTAAGACAACACCCAATCATGATATTCCCCAAACTCATCGTGATTATTTCATTCTGTAGTTTGTTCTATCAACTAGACTTCAACACAACACCTGACGAAAGTCTGACCAAAGTGAAGCTAACAAATCACCATCTCTATTACTTTGGATAATCAAGCAGTCACTCCAGAGTTGAGATTACAAACTTCACCTATGACATTGAGTACTCAAGCTGCCCTTGTACAGAAACCCCCATGACACTTGCAGTGCGAATCCCACCTAAAACACTAGACCAACAAATATCGTGTCAAATCCAGGCAGTTTACAGCCCCAATAGTGACATTTACTACTGGCTGAAACATGTCTCAAAAAAACGTTACACTGCTCTTGTAAATTCTAAAAATATCCACCTTTTGATCAAGATATTACTAAGCAATCAGGAAGAATTGAACCCAGGTCCCAGGGCGAAAATATCTTGCATTATCTGTAGTCGAGCTGTCAAAAACAACCAAAACAGCATAGGCTGTGATGAGTGTAACAACTGGGCTCACATGGACTGTATAAGCATGTCATCTGCTCGCTTCCAACATCACACTGGCCATCCGTCGGAGAACTGGCACTGTCCTAAATGTAGGTCCATAGACGAAACAAAATTCCCCTGTTTACTATGCTACCAACCAGTGAAGAGCTCACAAAATAAGTATGTTTGTGACAAATGTAACCAATGGGGCCATGTTGAGTGTCTAAGATCAGACTCTATTTCTCTTTCCGGTACCCAACATCTAGAAAATACATGGACCTGTCTAAAATGCAGTAATGTCAACAATTCAAATAGATTGTATGACTCCATAGTTGTTTCGTCACTCAGTTCTATTGAAAATAATGACCATCACAGTACTAGTAGTTATCTCATAATACCCATCAATCCCTATGCACAATTAACTATCTAGAGACAACTCACACCTAGATAATACATTGCCTTCCCCAAGAGCAACTTCGTCACCTATTCCACAAAAGAATAAAAAATCAGCTATACCCAAAAACACCATCAAATCATTGAGAACATTACTCGTCAATTTTCAAAGTATTAGATCCAAACGTAACGAAATATCACTCCTAATTGAATCAGCTAAACCTAACGTTTTCATAGGTACAGAATCCTCGTTGCTACTAGGTCAAATCTCAATGCCACATTAGCCTACAAAAGTGACAAAGTAGAACTTGTAGCCTTTAGAATCAATCTTGCAAAGCAAAACCCCATAATAATAGCCTCATACTATAGGCCACCCAGTAAAACTGACCCACAGTTCATAAGCGACTTAGTAATAGAAATCACCAACCTATACAACACTTTCCCAAACCATAACTTTTGGCTCGGGGGGGATTTCAACTTGAGTGACATCAGCTGGCCCGATAGTGACATCGCAAGTAGCAACTATCCAAAAAATCTGAGTGAACAATTCATTGCTCTCTTCCATGATCTCGGCTTGAATCAAGTAGGGGACTTCCCCATTCGTTATAACAACACACTTGATCTCTTTCTAACCAAAAGGCCGTCAGTTGTCAATAAGTGCAAGGCTATCCCAGGTGTGTCAGACCATGACATCGTCCCAATTGACAATGAAATCTCAACTCCTCCCATAAAACAGCCAAGACGAACCATATTCTTATGGAGCAAGGCTAACATCACCCTTATGAAAGAGGAGGTGAGAGAAAAGCTGAAATGTATTGTAGACCAAACTATGTCTGTTGACCAGGCCTGGTCACATTTCAAAAATGTCCTTAATTCAGTTATTAAAATCCACGTACCCCAAAAACTAACGAGGTCAAAATTCACCAATCCATTGGCTAGTAACAACATAAATAGGCTAGCCCGACAAAAACGAAGATCCTAAAACAAAGCCAAGAAAACACACAAGACAAAAGACTGGGACAGGTACAAAAAAATAAAATCCAAAATGCAAAAAGAGACCAGAAGAGCCTTTAGTAGTTACATGCATTACATCATTAGTCCTCAGCTCATAGTTAAACCAAAACGATTTTGGAGTTTTATTAAAAGTAAAAACATCCCACCAATTAGGATTCCTGAAGACGGCCTTACATATTCTGATGCAAAAAGCAAAGCATACATAATAAACCAACAATTTCAGTCCGTCTTCCCCAAAGAAAACCTCTCTGAACTACCCGACTTAGGTCCATTCAGACCAATGTCACGCATCACCATCAGCGAACCAGGTGTATATAAGCTCCTTCAGAATATCAAAATTCATAAAGCCACTGGTCCCGATTCCATTCCAGCCAGAATCCTCCATGAATTGGCAACAGAAATCACCCCAGAACTATCAATTATCTTTCAAAATTCCCTCGACTCTGGCACCGTACCACACGATTAGCGTGAAGCACACATCGTGCCAGTCTTCAAAAAAGGGGATAAACAAGCTGCTGAGAATTATAATCTGTCTCACTTTCCTGTATCACATGCAAATTGTTAGAACATATCATCCATAGTAATGTAATGTCCCACCTTGAGCAAAATAACATTCTAACATATTTACAACATGGTTCCCGTGCAAAATTCTCTACTGAAACTCAACTAATTCTGACAATTGACGACATAGCAAGGAACCTTGATAAAAATAAACAAATTGACGTCGTCCTTTTAGATTTCTTGAAAGCGTTCGACAGAGTCCCTCATGCAAGATTACTTTCCAAACTAGAATATTATGGGGTATATCCAGATACTGTTGGTTGGTTTTCCTCTTTTCTGAGCAACAGACAACAGAAAGTAATAATTAACAGCACCAGCTCTGATAGCGCCCCTGTCCTATCCGGGGTACCTCAGGGAACGGTTGTTGGCCCACTCCTCTTTTTGGTCTACATTAATGACATCATCGACTCAGTTTCCTGCGACATCAAACTCTTTGCTGACGACAGCTTATTATATACAGAAATTAATTCATTAGAAGACTGTCAGAATCTGGAAAACGACCTCAAATTCTTGGAAGTCTGGGAGGGTAAATGGCAAATGAATTTTAACGCCAAAAAATGTTCTATCATCAACATATCTAAAAAAAGAAAAATCCAATTAAGTTTAGCTAATCCCTGCACAATCATGTTTTGGAAAATTTAGACTCTATCAAATACCTAGGGGTTACTTTCACCTCAGACCTAAATTGGGATAAACACATACAATCCATCACCAACAAGGCAACTAGGACACTGGGATTTCTGCGTCACAACATGTCATCGTGCACCAGAAAAGTCAAAACCCAGACATTCACCACACTAGTAAGACCATCACTAGAATATGATGCCACTTGCTGAGACCCTTTTATTTCAGACCAGGTCCTAGCAATTGAAAATGTACAGCGTAGGGCTGCCAGATACGTATTTAATGATCATAGATCTAGAGAGCCTGGATGTGTCACCAACATGATAAATATACTTAAATGGGAGCCCCTAGCCCAGTGAAGAACAAAAGCCAGGCTCATGATGTTATGTAAAATAATAAACGGACATGTGGTTATTGATCCATCCCAATTCATAACATCAGGCGATAGGAGAACCAGAGGGGCCCACAGAATTAATCAAACATCAACCCACACAAACTTGAATAAATATTCATTCTTCCCTAGAACTATTGTTAACTGGAATTCGCTACCATCATCCCTAGCACAGGAGCCAAACTCTTTCAGGTCTGCCGTGGTTTGTTTCAACCTTCCATGAAGTGTTCTCTGTTTTTTTCTTATAGTACAAATTAACCTAAATAATTGTTTTTAACATTTTTAATGCCACCTCCCAGGTTCAAGTGCACTCAAACCTTTGAGTCTGATCCTTGTTAAGGAAGAAGAAGAAGAAGAAGAAGCAAAGTTCACAGTTTTTTTCGATATTTACCATATAACAACAAAAATAATCTTGGTATCCCTTTTAATTTAGTTCAAACAGTCAGACATCATTTCTTAATTCCTAGTCAAAAATTCTGACAAAAACAAAATGTTATTCCGCAAGTCTGTTTGCTTGTTTGGTTTTGTGACCTAGAAATCGTCATATTAGGGCATATGAAGACGACGTCCACAGAAGAATGAGTCAATCAATGACCACTTAAAAGCGTCTTCACACTTAAAAGTGATCACTCGGACACACCGTGACAAGCATGATACTCTATCCGTTTTAATCATGTGGACAATGGCGTAATTAGAGACACTGTTGTAAGGAAAGGGTAGGTCAGAAAATTAGACTACCGTAGGTGATGACAGCAGTTTGACTATCTTGCCTATGAATCATTGGGTTTGAACTAAATCTATCTACTAAAAACAAATATGGAAAGTACTTGGTTACAATACAAGATATATAGCTTTATTTTTTACTTGATCCAATTATCATTTAGATTTCTATTTTTCCAACCATTTAAACTGCACACTTTTCGGTCCCTTTCATCACCAATGAATTCTAGAAATGTGAATTAGCTGTATGGTACACCGTTCTTCACTTTTGGAATACTGTTTCAATTGCAGAATTTTGTAGGTGCAACATCATGGCTTTGTGTGTGTTACGTTCCTCTTTCAATACACAAGGCGGTAGACTCGGCTGATGTAAGTTTAGTCCCCGAGGTTTGCCGTAACCTTGATCGCAACATTTATCTTTTGGGTAGTGGAACGGTTCATCATATATATATACACTTTAATCATATGCACCTAGTATCACCGGTGAGTCGTAGAAGAACGAAATGGTCATCATTATTTTTTGGCATACTGTATAAATTGCAAAAAGGGACAAGCAACATGTGTCAGTATTGCTTTCATCTTTCCTATGGAGATGCTGATTCGACATATTCAACTCTTTTTGTGACAGGACTTATAAGAATAAAAGATTGATTGAAAAATTAACATGATCGGTAAAATCTGTAATACGTACGTGTCAGTGATATTAACAACATGAATGAATATTTAAGGTAACAGCCAAACTTACATAATCGTAGATATGTAGTTGTCGATAATATAGTTCATCACTGTGGGAGTTGGTATCACAGCCAGTGAACCGTTCTTGCTTTCACAGCTTTTCTGTGCAATCCAAGCCGGCTGCATACTGTTATCCACCCAGTAGCACGAGTCCGTTTCGTGGAAATACAAGGCGGTTTGTGGACATTCTTCATAACAATGGGGAAAAAATCACAATAATCAAATACTGTAGATCAATTCAACTATTCCATCTACTCTTAATTTCTCAACATGACATGTGTTCATGGGGGATTTATAACTTGATAATTATTGTTAGATGATATTATATATTTTATATTAGAATGATTGAAAATGAAAAAAAATACTATAAATGTTTCTTAATGTTTAAGATCTATATAGGTGTCCCGGAGGATACTAAACCAAAAATAAAACAATATACTAAACCAAAAGGAATGCGAAACACTCCTTACTCCTTGATGTATCTTCTGACATATAACAAAGATAACATTCTTCTTCTTCGTAGACTTTGAAATCCCATGCCGTGTTGACAGTTCTAAAATAATTTGGGGGGGGGGGGGATTTACATTGTTTATAGCCTATAGTTTGCATCTCTTTACGAGTCAACATGTCTCTAACAACAATTTTCCGGGCGTTCAAAACCAGAACTCTTTGAGATGCTTGATTTTCATGCACTTCTAATTGAATACATATGTATATCATCTATTGTTAAAAGATAAAAAAGAGTGATCTTACATTTGAAGAAAATGCGGAAGAATACAGCTCTATGTTTAGCTAATAAAGACGTGGTGACATTGTTGTATCTTCCTTCAACGGGTGTAATGGATAGCTTACCTAGTGGCTTGAAGCAAATACCGTTCAGTGCCTCACTACATTCCGCTGATACCACCTTAGGTGGTTGGATCGGTTGAAGAGCAGAACATCCTGTTACATTCGGGTCAATTTGGCTGATCCAATACAACTGTGACCTTCAATGAAAATGTATTATTAGTTTACAAATGCACGAAATACTATCCATATGCGATGTATTTTATCTAATCAAAAATTGATTCATATTATGATTATGTAGGAACAAGGCAATGAATATCATCGAGGAAAATATATCAAAAGGATTGTTTTCCTCCTTAATATCAGCGTCTTCAGGATCTATTCTTTTGAGATTGAAATCACGTTCGTTTTGATCTAGAGTAACAGGTCATCGTTAAATTTAACTTTATTTTGAAAGTAAACACGAATCTGTAAAATGTGTCAAAATACGTATTTCCTTTTAATTGTTTTGAAAAAAAAAATCACAATTCCGGCAAACAATTTTGAATATCCTTTATGCTCTACGTTTCGGCATTAGTTGAATCACTGAAAGAGTCCTTTTTATTATATTCTTAAGTCTGTTCCAGATGTAAAACTTTAGAAAACCAAAAGGAACAAATAGGAAAATTTAAAACGTCATTTTCATTTACTGTAATGAGTAGCACGAAAAATGGGCTATTGTATCTTTTTATGTGAGTCGTTCAAAATCAGTTACAGAATAATGAGGATTTTTTGTTTTAAAAACAAATGGTAACAACAATCAATATGGCTTTTGTACAAGAATTTATTCATGAAGATATCTGATCAAATACTTGGGAGATGTTATTGATTTTGTCCTGCTTACGGTCAAAGTAAAAAAAAATACGAAAATTACATATTATCTGTAAATCCTTATCTTTGGCTGATCACAGCAAAAACACGAGCACGAGTCGCATTTAACTCATAGACAAGAAAAAACTTTCATAAATATATTAGATTGTTTTTCTTTTCAAAAAGTGTTTTGTTATTAAAAATAAGATATATTACTTCTGTATTTTGATCATCCCTTTTGGATAAAGCCAAGGCACAAGTCAAGAACATGGGACATTATATGAAACACTATAACGGGTGAACAACACTCAATCTTCTACAAGGGATTTTTTAAACAAAATTCACTAATATCTAAAACCATTTCCTTAATTACTATTTACCAGAGAAATAGATGCCTTTTCTTTATTTTTTCGTTTTAATTACAATACTTACACAGACAACAAGTGATGGATGATAAATGTGGGTAGGCCTGCGCTATCAATAGCTATCAAAGATCCGCCATCTTGGCTACAGGACTGGGTGCTGTCTATAACAGTTCCATTCGTCTTTGTAAGCCATATACAAATTCCATCGTCTTGGAAGAAATATGCTTCAAGTGGGCAAAACTCAGTCGATACGAAATCTGAAAAAATAAAACAAACACTACTATAATTATTTCATCTCTTCATTTACTGTCAATATTATGAATTAGTTACCTCAAATCTATGCACTTATTAGTTTCAACCATATTTTATTCTTGTCAATTAACATGTACAATTACAAAAGACATTTAATTTTGATGATTGGGAAACAAGTACTATTGTACTTATACATAGTCCTTCTCATCGTTCATAACAAACTTTGCTGTAGTCCATGTATAATTTTGCAGTGATAGTCTGAATATGCACAAAAGAAACTGTTTAGAAAGAAAGATAGACCATGATATTAGAGATAAAGAAAGTAACTGATGGAGTTTTACCCGGTTGGATGGGTAGTTAAGTTGACATGATATCCTAATGTAGTTAAATTCTAATTGCTTGGAAAATTTTCTTGTTGATCTGATAAAATTTCGAGTAGCTATAAAAATGTTTACATTTTGATCATACGTTAAAGATACATCACCAAACAGTAGTAAATGACCACTTAATTGGTAATGCAGGAAATCAAGTACCTTCGGCGTGTTTCATTGTGATTAGAACAAAACAACAAATAGTGGGAACTGTCTTCTACAAAATGTCCAAATGAACATAAGGAATTGTCTATAAGATTTCTTTCAAAAAGATGACGTTTTAAAGTCCTTATAACGACAATGTAAACTTTGTCACTAATACCACATTGCATCCTCTTTCTTGTAGCAATCATTGTTAATCAGTGCTTAACTGAACTTTAAAACCAGGACATTACATATAAGAGCACTCTATTTTATTTCAACAGTAACAATTTTGACGGAGCAAACAAATATCTTTGCACTGACTGGAATATTCAACTTCAATGTTATTTTACGATATGAATTATGTTCTTACTTATACAATTATATTTGCTATAAATCAATATGTACTAACTAAAACAGTTTTAATGAAAAATGTAGGATTAAATCAGACTGAATAAAAACAAAGAAATCAAACAATACACAGGCATCCTAGATTAAAAGAAGAACGCAAGACACACGCCTGTGATTGCACTAAAACCTGGTTTGCCTGACGCAGTATGCAAAAAAAAAAAAAGTATTTCGTGGCACCATACCGCCGTTTCGTTCTTCTAGTTCTTCTTCTAGTCCAAGAAAGGCGAACGGCGATATAAGTATATGGGTGTTACTGATTTGAAGCATAATTTGAAAAAAAATGAGATCTAGGTCATATCTAAGAATTATCACGTTCACAAAGCGAAAACTGGTTAGTGACAAAAAATAACAACACAGGGCACACCAATGAGCATAATCAATGAATTAGATTGGAAATTGAAACATCATACTTCCCAATGGGACCACGATAGCAACAACAAAAATCCATCCCAAAAATCATGATAATCGGTGCAAGCTCTCGAACACTAAATCAATTTCGATATGTTAAAACCGCAGACAGGGGAAGTCCGTGATCAGAAAATCTAAATCGCCTCGCGTATAGTACAGCTCAATAATAAGCCTTCTATGTTGGTCAAATTGTAAGTTTAGATCGAATAAAGCGGCCGAAGTAGAGAAGTCTGTTGTGTCCTTGATTTCAAGCTCAGAGAGGATATATGCAATCGACGTGGTCAATACATTTCTTGTTGTTTAGATACAGCACATCATTGATATATTTTAAAGAGAGATTGAAAAACTTGACTCAGCTTTTATTACCAGTCAGCTCTTTAGTAAATTCACGATTCACAAAAACAAGTCGGCAAGAAGAGCCCCCCCCNTTCTGCTGGAAAATCTTGTCACAGAGCTCAAGAAAGACATTGACAACCAGGACACAAATCATTCTCAATAAAAACGCTAAAATAAACTAAAAATGCATTGTTTCCCTACGGAATAGATAAAGTACACGAGAACATCGCCAAAACGGTCGCATCGTTTCAAACTCTTGATTAAACTGTGAGAAAGTTATAGTCCTGATAAAGCATTTCTAAACTAGCAGGAGTCAATGTGTATTACCTTAATGATTCTATGCGACCTTTTTATACGACTCTGATATTCCTGATTCACTTGTAACCTACTTTGTTAGTGTGCCAGAGAAACAAAGTATCGCATCAGGATGAATCAAATAGGATATGAAAACACATAAGCACACGATAATTCCAAATTGACACGATAAAACCATAACACACGATTGAGGACAACAAAATAAATAATGGCATCAAAAACACACAATAACTTATGAATTAGATAAATAAAATAAATTAATTGATAAATGCGTGATGATCTATCTAATTCGGTACCAAACTTAAAGTTATGTAAAATATTTTACGAATCCATAATATCACCTCTCTGTTTTCACTGTACACTGTAACGTCTCATTGGAAATAGTCAACTTTCGGTAGAAAACAACAGACATGTGCATCATTACATCAAATCCAGCGATAGGTTTTGATAGTAATAATTAATTTTCTATTCTTATTTAAGTTGTTATATGTGTTTATGAAATTGTATTTCATTATTTTGCCGGATTTATTTGTTACATTGATTCTGTTCGTTTTAAAAGTACTCTACCAGGTTGCATGTCATGAAATCTGTATAATTTATAATTGTTTCAAATGCGGATCAATTTCTCAGTTTCCAAGTTTAATTTTCTAGGTAACACCCCTCCCCTCCATCACTCCCACCCCCTCCCACCCCACAGTTCCTTCCTTCCTCAACCTATCTTTTCCCTTTCCCCAAAAACATATACACTTTTTTCACAATATGTATTGAGGAGAGGACTCTATTAAGTTGTAATAACTTGTTGTCCGATCCATTTGTATATTTG